GTACCAAAAAAATATATATATATAGATAGATAGATATAGATATAGATATTGATTTAATGTACACATCAATAGGACTCTCTGCAAAAAGAAGCTTAACTCCTAGCTACTGGTAACCTTGCTAATTGAAAAGAGTATTCTAATATCATTATTCTTTTTTAATTGAGTTTATTGGTACATTTTAGGTATACAGTACAGTTACATTCATTATTGGCATCTTGTACCTTTACATGACAGGTCTTGGTTCTCATTTTTTCCCCTTGTCCCTGCCCTCCCTTCACCCCCTCCTCCCCTCCCCATTTACAAACACTTTATTTCCATTTTTTCATTTTCTCACATTTTTTTCTTTTCCCTTATTCTCTTTCCCCTACCCTTCCCACTTTCCCTACACCTTTAGCCCTTTTCTTCCTATTTCACATTGTCAATTATCTCATTAGGATCTTATGTACAAATATCATTATTCTTGTTGAAATTTTAGTCTTGGAAGCGATGCATAAATTTCCATTAATCCTTAATGCGAGACTCAAAAACATGAAAACTTCCCTCGGGCTAAGATCTGTCTTGCATTTTATAAATTACTTTGAAAAATTTCAAGTCATTCAGCTTTGCCTTATCACTTCTGATTCTCACTGTAATATATCTAAAAGCAGACATGAGTACTCATGCTGCAGCCTGATCATTGTACTTATTGAAATTTCCTCCCCCAAATCAATTAATTTAACTCCTTTAAATTGTCTCACATAAAGTCTTAAGACATGGCAAAATATAGACAAAATTTTTGCCAGAATATAACATGCATGACCTCTACTCTACTGCTCAACAGAGTCTTCGTTCCCATCTGAAACCTCATAATCCTGACCTTTACTGTCTGCATTCCTATCAGCACTCTGGTCTTCTGAGCTGTCTAGAATTGCCCACCAATCTCTGCTTGTAGCATTCTGGGGATTCTCTAGCCTACATCTGCAATCCTTTCCAAATACCTCCCACAAAGCAATTCCAAATGCTTCTGAACTGTGGACTCCATTTTGAGGTGAATAATCTATAAACTATTTTAGAATAAAAGAGCTTAGGCTCACAGACACATCTTGGGCAAGGCCATTATACTCAGGAAGTTCCAAGACATTCTGACTAAAAAAACCCAATCACAAGGTGTTTTAAATCGATACCCCCCATCAGTGATCTACCAACAATAAAGTCCAAGAAAGAAGTAACTACCTGTAAAAGCAACTTACCTCAGGGCTCAGGGCAAATGACTCTTTTGTCATCTAGCCTGCTGCTCTAGAATGTACCTATTAAACTTTTTCTTCAACTTTGCTTTGGTAAATTATCTCCAGAGCTGCCAGTCTATCATGCTCTATCCTATGAACTACATGGTCAGGTATACACAGAAATAACCAAACTTCTCCAGTAACAATTTTCTGTATTGGCCACTTTCTCATAACTGGGACAAAATAGTGAACATCCACAATTTAAAGGAGAAGAGGTCTATTTGGCTCATGGTTTAAGAAGGTGTAGTCCATATTTGGCTGATTCCATAGAAGAAATATGGCAGAAGGGCACTGTGGAAGAAAGCTGTTCAACTTATCAAGCAGCCAGAAGTAGAGAGAAAAGGGAGGAGCCTAGGATAAGGGCATACCTTTCAAGTCATGCTCTCAGTGATCCTTTCTATCAGACTCTTAACCACCATAGCAACATATTCAGCTATAAATTGATAAACTGTAAATTAATCCACTGATGAGTACAGCACCCCCATCAACCACACACTTCCCAAAAGCCCCACCTCTGAATATGACAGACTTTTGGGGGACATTTTAGATCTAAACCATAGCAGCTCTTAAAATGTGAATGAAGATACTATCTTGGAAGTGAATCCTCTATCGCCAATAGCTCCAGCTGACACTAGCTGGATCACATTCAAACCAGCCAGGCGAATCCTTACTGTGAATCCATTAAATTGTGAGCAAAATAAAATGGTTGCTTTAAGCCACTAAGCTGGAATAGTTTGTTATTCTACATTAGTAGAACACAGATCTATTTCATATGAAAAATATTAAAAAAATAGAAAGCTAAAGCTGATCCTTTATTAATTTGTACTTTAATTACTTCAATGAAGTGGGTAAAAGGAAGTCCATTTTTTAAATCATGGTGATGATAAAAATACAACCTCATTCATATCAGATATGCAAAAATATGCTCTCAAAAAATCAACATAGTAATTTGAACCTTGACAGGTTTCAGCAGCTCTTTTGTAAAACACCTTCTAACTTGCCTACTTATCTCTCCTTAAAATAAAATTGAGTAAACTCTGAGATTTCTAATGCCCCAGGTTAACTACATGTGAAAATGACAAATTACTTTTTAAGATTGAAGACAACTCTGCCCTTTAAACTGAGTGAAAAATGTACATTCTGCTCAGTGGCTCATGTGCAATTACTACCGTGAGTCCAACAAAACCAAACAAGACAGAATTGTTTAGTCATTTGCATAAGTTGACTATATTTAGAAAAGTGTAGCAACCTCTAAGAAGCCTTGAAGATTTTGCATATTTTTATCTCAATGATTTGTGTACTATATATTATATATCAGATTTTAAAACCACTCCTTTAAACTAGTACTTACTTGGAAACTACAGCTCATAGGAATTTCTACCAGTAAATGATGCTCATTAAGAAAAGGTAAGATCAAAACGGTCATCAAAAATGCCATTATTGAAAACCGCTGACAGATTTAATTACATTATAATTTATTATTTGGGTATAATTTGTTTAAATATGTGATACCCAAATCAAATACAATGAAAAAAAAAAAACATTGGCCTTTTAAACTGAATTGTGAGATTTAAGTGAGTAGTGAACAAAATGCTAAGCAATTCTATTTCTTTCGAACTCTTCTCAATAACTCAGAATAAATATTTTGGCGCCTGCATTAATTATAGTCCCAAAGCTTCTTCTTAAAAAGAAAGCATTGATACTAGAGTGGCCGATGACTGAAGACCATTTTTATTAAGTATATTAAACATAAGAAATAGTACTCTTCTGAAGATTTTCATACAATCATACCATTCTAATCCTGGCCCATTTAGAATTAATTCTGAAAAAACTCCCAGAAAAAATTAACTTGATGTTATCCTGTTTGTAAAATAGGAATCCTATAGATTATGGAAAAATATCTTAGGTTTATATGTTAATCAACTCAAGCCTAAACTGTGTGTGACATAATTATGGCAATTCTTCCTGCTGTCATCACCAACAGTCTGAAAACAAAAATCAATTTAAGAATGCAGTTTCTAAGAGCAGTAATTATGCACTTAACAATATTTACTAAGGAGTTAGTATGTTCCAGGCAATGTGGCAGATGCATATACAAATCCCCACTATTAGGCAGCTACAGAACATAAAAGGCAGAAAGATCAGAGTATTAAATGTAAGATAATAGACCAGGCTTCAGTTGGCAAAGGGAATAGCATATGCAGAAACACAGGAAAGATTCAGCACAGTGCTTTGAGAAAATACATTGTATCATCATGAGAGGAAGTATCTTGTCTACTCCTTGGCCCATCCTAATTTGATTCCAGGATAACTGTAAAATGAACACACTTTATCCCACCTCACTTAGGAAAATCACCTCAACACAGAGAAGGTCTATACCCTTAGATAAGAACCAGATGAATATGTTCACCACAAATTTACCAAAGCTCTTACCAACAAAATAACCATTATCACCTGGATCTATGGAGTCACAACTTGGCTGGGAAACCATAGTTCAAGTTTAGAGAACAAAGAGGAATGTTAGAAGTGGCCAGAGATCATGCTGAAGAAATAAAAGATGTCATGGAGATCTTATGTACCATTATTGCCTAAATGATTTATGAAAACAAATAACTGTAAAACTAACAAAAAGTATATACAAGATTAGCCAATAAATGAAGTATGTGGTGATGGATATGTTAATTTGCTTGACGGTAGTAATTATCTTACTATGTATATGTATAGCATAATATCACATTATACACCTTAAACATACATATATGTTAATAAGATGAATGAATGAGTAAATTCCAGTATAACAAATATGACATTTTCTAAGCTCACTTCACTGTTCTATTATTTAGAGACATCATTCACCCTCCCCCTGGTCACAACTTTTGCACATGCACAAATAAACATGCTACTTCTCCAAATCAGCACACAGTATCTATCAAAAGACATTTTGATGGGGAGTTGCTATCACATACACATTTAAAAAAGGGCTCCCCATTGGAGCTAGGCCTCCATTCACTCAGAGATCTATTAGGTTATTTTAGAATTATAAATACAGATGATGCAGGTCCAAAGTTTAATAACCACACAGGTCAGGACCAGCGCTCACCTGATCCTTTCAAGGACGTTCATGCCAATAAGCCTGCATAGCATAGCCTGGAGCTAGGCCAGAGCTTCATCTTTTTGCATCCACCTTTCCATGCAATGGGTACACAAAGCATATGATAGATTTTATTTCAAATCACTCTTTGGAAGAGTCAAATTGAAAGGCTACTGTTACCCCCTTGAAGAGATGTATACCTATGCTCTCAGCTCAACTGTGTTTTGTCAGGGAATTGGGCAAAGTAGAATTTGAAGCAAAGGAGAATTCAGACATTACAAATGTAGTTAAAGACCACTTTGTGCTCCTTACCCATAAACCTTCTGCCTCTGCCAGCTCAATCCCTCCCTGGTCCAGGTTTTACTGAAATCACCAGACAGCACAGTAGTAATTAGCTTCTGAATCCACAGGATCCACTCTCCTGTGAAGTCATCTACCCCACTGTAGATGCCACACTAGATGCCTGCAATCAATTTTTAATTACGGCAGCAGTAGTGATCAAGACACAAAGCATGAAACTCACTGAGAAAGAACCAAGAGACTGTTTATTACAGTTCCAGTCAAGCAGGAGCCAGACTTGGGCCACCCTTGACTCAGTCAATCATGGCCTGGAAAGTTTCCCTCTTCCAGAAAGACACTCTTACCTTTGGGATGTTTTCTTGTATTTCCTCCTGTAGGAAAAGAAGCATAAACACATATTAGAAAAGGGCTTGTGACAAACAGTGAGAGAAAGGAATTATTTTAGTGGGGGTGGCCATGGAAGTGTTGGGCTTCCCTTTATGTTGCGTATGGACTTCAAAGCCCAGAGAGAAGTTTGGGATTGTGTTTTACTGTAGGCAAATGCACATAACTTTCTCCTTAACAGTGAAAAAATAGCATCCCAAGAACTCAATGGTTCTGCTCACATTCCTCCCACTTCAAGAGCACTGTACTATGCTAATTGAAGTTGTTTTGTTTTGTTTAGTACCAGGGATCAAACTTGGGTCCTTGCACTTGCCAGGCAGGTGACGGCACCACTGAGCTAAATCCCTGGCCCTGAAGTTGGTTTTTAAACACAGCAAAATCCAAGTTACAATTTCAGTCTTTGAATCTACAAGGTTCATGGGGTTGGGGCAGAATAGACAGAGGCTTAAAACATTTGTTTGGTATGTTTAAATGATCAATAATCATTAGTTATTTGTATATTTATTATTTTTAGTATATCCCATTGTTTAGCAAGGGTTCCTTTAACGATGTGCCTTATGGGGGTGGGAGATGCTGGGTACAGGACCCATGGTCTCAAGCACACTATGCAAGTGCTGTACCACAAGATACCCCTGGGTCTTCTTAAATGTTAATGTATAATAATGCAGCGAAACCATGAAATCAGACATGAAGTCTTCAAAACAGGCAGAATTTGGGAAGGGGACACTGAGAAAAGCCAGAAGCAAAAGGTGGGAGCAGCATTAGGAACTTACCAAGGGCTCAGTTGAGGACTTCACTGGGAAGAAGAGACTCAGCTTTACCTAATCTCTGCTATTTACAGTCATCAGTTACTTGGGCTTGTGTGCATTTGGATTTCTTGATTCATCAAAAGGAGAAAGTAATACCTGCCTTGATTATCATACCTTGGCCATAGTGCATTTGAGGGGGAAATGGACATAAACATAGGTCAGCACAATAGTCATCGTGTTTGTGTCTGTTTTTATTTACTCAGAAGCCCCTCAAAAGACTTTCAGTAAGATCTTCCATGGAGAGGATCAGAGGAAGAGGAAGACATATCTCACAGCATCTCTGGGAAGCACAATGCTTCCCAGCTGTTCTTAGCTCCACACGCGCTTCCCCATTACTGTCACTGCACCCAGCCAGCCATGCACTGATGGGCTAATTGGGAGCTATGGGCCAAATGTTTAAAAAGAGACAGAGAGAGCACAGAATGAAAATGTGTCAATATTAAGTACTAGGTTAAAAAAGAGCAACATGAAACTAGACCTATAGGATGGCCTTCACTAGATAAGTACTGCTATATATTTATGTGAAAGAAAACAGGTTGGAACAATCACCATGATCCTATTATACCTATTAATGGATCACTTCTTCTATTTTAACTTTTATGAATTTTTAAATTTTCTTTAAAGAATGAGTATTATGATAATAATTAGAAAATATTCCTGAAATATACATATACTTATACAGACACTTAAATGAATATACATGTATCTAGTAATACATCCATATATTTATATGTTTGAATTGTATCACCTTTATAGGGAGAAAGGTCCACTAAACTAGCGGTTAGGGCTTGGGTTCTAAGCACAAACTACCCATCTTCCAAACATAGCTCTGGCACTTAAATCTATAATGTTGCGTGCCAGTTATTCTGCCCCTTTGGTTTCTTTGTCTGTAAAGTGAGAATAATCAGAGCACCTTCCTTAAGAACTTGTTACAAGAAATAAATGTGAAAATTTACATGAATCTCAATCCCGCGGAAGCCAAGTTCTTTGTGTGGTTCTACTCTGCATCTCAGTGCCTAACACTGTGCCTTGTCCTCCCCTCAAAAGCTGAAGTGAACAGGCATTGATCATTCATGCTCTCTGCCTGGACCCTGTCATGGTGACATCTCACACTCTCCAGGCCATAGACAGGGCAGAGAGCATTGTGAGCTACTGTGACCACACCCTCAGCCTCCTTAGGACTGTCATAAACTGATCTAAGGAACCTCTGGCAAGACTATACAGTAACCCACTGAGAGTATGCAAAACCCAAAGGCAAGAGGGCAGTCAGGATGGATGGATGCTCTGGCTTCTACTTAGCATGTCAGCTAATTCTTTTCAGAGGTCAGAAGGCACCCTTTGCTACTGGCTTACACAGTTTCCCCAGCATTTCCCAAGAAACATACAAAGGTACTGCTAAGAGTGCTGAACAAATCAAAAGGGAACAACAACAACAAAAAGAATAGCTTCATTTTCAGCACTTACTAGTAATAAGAACTAATATTCTGCTAGTTCTCATAACTGTTAAGATTTACCGTCTAAAAGAATTTGAATTTTGGAAAGGAAGTTAAAACATGGATCTAAGTAATTGTTTTATTATAGTAAGTACAGATGATAGTTCAACAAAGCTCCTGACACCCAGTCTCTTTCTCCACAGATGTGTTGTTAGCAACACACATTATAAAATTAGTTCTTCTCATCTTGTCCCAGCTAAACAGAGCCCTCAAATCAAGGCAATCCCAATCCAAATAGTATCATCCTATGATGTGGTTTGAAAGTCTGCATTTAAAGCACAAGAAAAAATACAATTTCATGGAAATGACTCAAGGGTCAACTCTCTGATCATCTTGACTGGGCAAAATCAGCGAGAACTTAATGGAGCCCTATTCGTACTTCAGTTCTCAGCAGAGACCTCACTGCAAAAATTTTCTCAGGCCTACCAAACTGGACCATGCTCTGTGTCTCACAGTGGCCAGTGCTTGCATTTATGACTATTAATGGTCACAGTGCATTCATTACATTACAGTGATGAAAGAATGGTGGTTTACCAGCTGTCTGCTAGTGAGTCTCTCTAGCCTAACATAGTGCTTATCAACCGCTCAATAGACTGTTGCTAAATGAGTGAATGAATTTGCAAGGTAATTCATCAATAACTGCTCTATTTTTACCCATTTTCCTTCTGTATAGTGAAGATTTACCATGGGCAGTAAGGGCATCTACAATAGTCATAATTTCCTACACCCAGGGGTAAAGCAATGAGAGGGTTTTGGAGAGCTCATAATTGTTGAGCCCTCCTGCTTTCACTTCTGGTTCAGAAATTAATTCAGGCCTACAGGTTTAGCTCACTTTATGTTTGGTGAAAGTGAGGCCCTGAGAGGCTAAGGAACTTGCCTAAAAATATACAAGTGGCTGAGACAGAACTTCTGAAGCTTTCAAAGAAAATTGTGAAAATTACACAGGGAAGTCAAATGACTGCAAGAAAAAACATAGATACTATGCTAGACAAAAACAAACAAAACAAACAACAATAAATACACTGGGTTCTTTCCCTCCAAACACAGGAAATGAGCTGGAAAAGAAACACTTTATTTTTGGCCTTTTGTTTCTTAAGAACTTCAACAGAATTTATCCCTGACTCACTACCTGAAAGAAAAAGGGAATATTTTTGTTTTGTTTTTCAAGCTTACTTTAAATTTACAATTTTTTGGAAGTTGAAACAACATGGCACAAATCCAAAAATTCATGTAGCTAACATAGAAAGCAGAGAATGAGCAGGAGCTGCTGTGATTTCAGAATTGACTGAGACAGAAGCAGCCGGGAGACTGAGAGGCCAGCTTCATGTGGGCAGGCAGCAGCTCATCTCCCTGAAGCCAGGCTATGCAAGCTTCTCAAATATAGCCCAGAGCAGTGCTTTACAAAGTATTAATCAAAATTCTCTCTCTTTCTCTCTCTCTCTCTCTCTCTCTCACACACACACACACACACACACACACACACACACACACACACACACGAGGAGCTTTGTTTGCCTGCTTTTGTTTTTAAGAGAGGCATTAGAGAAAAAAAAAAAAAACAAGAGGCATTAGAGCACCATGCTTAAGATCAATTGCTTGAGTTCAAATCCTTTCTCCAGCTTCATGTGTCTGAATACTGATTTCTTTCTCTGTAAAATTTGAGTAACGATAATACCTGCTTTATGTGGTAACAGGAAAATTCAATATAATGACGACCATAAAGCATTTAACATATAGAGCTGGATATCCAGCAAGTGTTCAAGGGCCTACTATTACATTAGTAATAGCAACATTGTATAAAATGAATATAATCCAACAGTTTTCAATTTTGGGGGAAAGGGGTGTTCAGTGTATTTTAAAAGTTATATTTTAAAACTTAAAATACACTAAAAGTTGAATGCTACTATTCTGGAATGGAAGCACGGAATACTCCCAATTCTCATCTTGGCCTACGTGAACTACAAGGGAAGCAACGCTAATCTCAGTTTCACTAAGAGGAGGGTGAACTGAGACCCTGCCCTGCATTCTCCCATGTCCTAGGGATCCTACAGCCTGTAGACCCTGCTCTTCACATTAGCAATGGTTCCAGCTAGCCCAGGAAAGCCACACAGTTCCCCCAATCTCAAAAATTACTCAGAGGTAAGAAAAAAGAAAAAAAGAAAGAAACTGGGTATCATATTAATCCTTAGAAATATCTAACATATTTTTTAACAAAAGTCCACTTTTTTCCCTAAGTTGAAAAACCATTTATTTCACTGGAAAGAAAAAAGTGAACGAACTCTATAGGTCTATCTAGCCTCTGTAGGTCTTTTCTAGCCAAAAGAAACTCAAGAACGGTGACTCCCTCTCCAAGGTCATCTTCAAATCCAGCACACATTGGAAACAGGAGAAAAGAAGGAGCCAGAACAGATCCCACCACAGTTTCTGCACACAATGAGATGGGCTGAGAGAACAGAACATGAATGGGGAGCTGGTGAAGTGTGGAAGAATGGGAAAACAGGCAAGAGAGATGAAGGGAAAGGATAAAGTCTGGATTTAACACATTTCCTTTATATCAATAACTCCCTAACATTGACATTAGCATCTTGCTTACCACATACCTCTAAGTATGCTCAGGAAGTTGTAACTCAATACAGAGATATCATGTGTTATAACTACAATTACTGATCGATGTACACTCCTTTA